CAGGATCTTCGTAACAATGGAAAGAATATGGGTGGAGTAGTTGTACTTATTGCTGGCGATTTTAGGCAAACATTACCAGTTATTCCAAAGGGTACCATGGCTGATGAGCTAAAAGCTTGCTTGAAATCTTCGTATCTTTGGAGACATGTTGTACCATTAAAACTCAGTACTAACATGAGAGTGCACTTACGAGGTGACGTATCTGCCGGCCGTTTCGCTGAACAACTTCTCGCAATTGGAAATGGCAAAATACCTGCTGACCCAGTCAGTGGACTTATTAATATTTCAGACAACTTTTGCAATATCGTTGAATCAGTCGAAGAACTCAAGAATAAAGTGTTTCCAAACATTCAAACTCAGTACAAGGATCACAAATGGTTATGTGAACGCGCTATTCTAGCTCCGAAAAACGTCAATGTAAATGCTATCAATGTACAAATACAGCAACAACTTCCTGGTGAAGCTATATCTTACAAATCAATTGATACAGTTAAAGATATCGACATGGTAGTTCAGTATCCAACTGATTTTCTCAATTCACTCGAACCTTCTGGAATGCCACCACATAACTTGCATCTGAAAATTGGATCATCTATTATGCTCCTAAGAAATCTGGATGCACCAAGATTATGTAATGGTACAAGGCTATGTGTCAAAACTCTAATGCCTCATGTAATCGAAGCAACGATCATGACAGGTTGTGCAAAAGGTGAAGATGCATTCATACCAAAAATACCTTTGCTCCCTTCTGATATACCATTCGAATTTACACGACTTCAGTTTCCAGTACGGCTTGCCTTCGCAATGTCTATTAATAAGGCTCAAGGGCAATCACTTAAAGTTGCTGGTGTCCATTTAGAAACTCCTTGCTTTTCTCATGGTCAACTTTATGTGGCATGCTCGAGAGTAGGAACTGGAGAGAATTTATATGTTTTTGCTCCAGATGGAAAAACGAAGAACATCGTGTACAAAACAGCTTTACAATGAAAACTTCTATTTTGCTGTTTTTTTGCTTGGAAGAAGTTCATCAATCAAAATATAAAAAGGAAAAAAGTCTATAACGGCTTTAATGTGTTAAATATTAAAATTAAAAAAGAAAAGATTCGAGTGTAGCTTATGATATTGCAGATGAATAGCTGTTGAGGACTGTGGCAACATTGTATTATCATCCGTGAGATATATGCTATCGTATCATCTCCATACATCGGGTACCTCCCCTAGTTTGATATATTTACGCTGAACATTAAATGCGGTTAAGAGTATAAAAAATGAATTAGAAAGAAAGTGACATTTTTCTTTTTACTATGGAGTGTCCATAATGTTGTAATAGTTTTTATTTCGCAAATATCGCGGCTTAGGTGAATGATAACATCTTGAATTCTTTTTGAAAAGATGCGCTGCGAAATTCTCTACAAAATCTGTATAATAAAATTCTACTTTACCTGTTTCAATAGTTTTTCTTATACTCACAATGAACAACCTGCATGACAGCGTCACGTCCCATCATATGGAAGAATGTTTGGAAGATTTTTGTTTTGCATATATTTCGACTTGAAAAAACAATAGAATATTGAATTTATTTTTACAAGACATGCCGTTGACAACTCTACAGAAGCTGTATGAACCAATGTCTGTAGCGAATCAGAAAAGTCTTACAAACAGTTTCAATATGATGGGAAGTGAGACTGTCATGTTGGTTGTTCATTGTGAGGCAGTAGTGTCAAACTTGAAAGTTGAATTCAAGTACTCAACTATCAGTTCAAGCATTCAACTATTCAAGTATTCAACTATTCAACTATTCAAAGATTCACGTATTCAAGTATTCAAGTATTCAACTATTCAACTATTCAAGTACTCAACTATTCAAAGATTCAAGTACTCAA